ATCTGTTTGAAGACAAAAACAGCTTCCAAGATGGTCGACCATAAAAAGCTTGACTCAAAATACCAAAAAAAAATGAAGATATAAATGTAGTTCTTCCGGAAAGAGGTGGCTGCACTGAATTTCATCACTAACCTCACTCAGCGCAGCGAGTGCCGTGCTTAAGTTATAATAAGCTTTTATTCTAACAGCAAATATTACAGGCAGGTGCAGAGCTGCATGTTTCATTATTTTTCTCTTTTTTTTTTCTGCGAGGCTCCCTTACAACTACAAAAAAAGAATATTAAGATACATTTAACCTTTTATATAGTCAAAGCAGCTTAATGATACTTATTATATTTGACTTGCAAGAGAAAATCCTCATTGTAAACAAAACAATTTAAAAGTACCCTTAAGTAAAAATACCTAGAATAGCAGAAGTTAGGATTATTTTACTACCTAATGCTCAAATTTGTGTTTTCACAACCTAGAATGAGAATTTTGTGGGTTCCTAAAGTTGGCCTGGCTTATGTCAGAAAGAGAGGTCAATGCAAGTTCCTGCCTGAACACATCTGATTCAGACACACGGGTTAGCAGGCTCCTGCACAACCTCATGGAGCAGAGGTCGTCAGCTCATTTCCATTAAGAAATGGAATGGTGCATCTCTGCTCTGATGTTTAAAGCTTTAACTTATTTTTTCATGTGAGAAACCATCGACCTATATGTTTGTTGTTATTTAACAATCTGGTGCTTGTGCCCTAAAATTACCCATAAACATGAAGGCAACAATTTGGACTTTGTTTGGTTGAGTACATTTATTTACATTTTGTTAGTAAAGTGCATCTATTTAATATCCATAAAACACAAAGATAAATTACGTTAATTCTACCCAACATTGTAAACGTAAAGATTTTTTTACACAGAAAATGATTAGGCTTGAATAAAAGCATTGATCTTCATGCTACGCCTCAATCCAGTGGGCTTCAACGGTTAGTCACAATGCGTACCCCAAAGGGCCTCACAGTGAGTCTGAATCTAAATTTCTGATTTTATTTGAGCAGAAAAATGAGAAAGCATGATAACGACGGTTTATATATAGTTAGACTTAAGGAACTCGTTTTGAACGTTGCTCTATTTTCTGGTTATCTCTCGTTCTGAATGATGCAGCAGAGCAGTTCCTTCTTGGCACATGGATCTTTAGGTAAATCTTTTTAATGTTTTTAAGTTGGATTTCCTACTGTTAACAAATTAGCAGGATTTACAGATTATAATCTTGCAAATTTGCTAATTATTATGTAGTGGTGATGCTTAAATGATTTTCATGGATTCTATTTCCCATCCACCTAAGGCATTTCTTGCAGTGTGCTAATTCATACAGTATGTCTGTCTCTTTTTTTTGCTGTCCGAAATATTTCCAAAATGTCTGATTTGTATTTTTTGTTAGTAGGGTCAGTTTAGGCTAGCTTCTTTTAGCCAGCGGACACAACAACGTGTGGGGGAGGGGTAATGTTATGTAACTAATTATTCAAACAGCAGGCGTAAAGTTTTTACAAGAACAAGATGATGAAATATTTCATAAGGAAGGATTAAGATTAGAGTTTTGGGGAGGAGACCTTCCTGATCAGAAACACGGGGTTATCACAAAAGAAGAACTAACAAAGTACCAAAGCAAGCATGCAAACAGTTGGTCGGCAGCTAAAGGAGTGCTTTCAATGCTGTATTTGAAATAAAGATTTTAAAGAGCCGCTATATTGAGAAGGCTATAAAAGGATATTTTTCAAAATAAAATATCACTAAAAGGGAAGAAAGAATATGATCTTTTTATTTGATCTTCTGACCATTTGAGAGGCGCCAATAAGTTATGGGCTGATTAGCATATAGGGCTTGAAAGCTTGAAAAAAATATTTTTTTGTTTTGTTTTTTATATTTTCACAATAACTGAATAACATAAGTTGGAAAACATTGGAGCTGGAAGGTGAACTTTATTGCCTAGAACCACCAGCGACAGTCGGATCATTCCCCATGACTGATGCAGAAGTATATCAACCTTTTTACTGAAGTAGAACTGTGGAAATGTCACTTTCCACTTCAGCACTGAGGCGCATTACAGTATACAGGCCGATTGGTGTTTTTGAAACAATGTAAGGAAGCAACAAAACTTAGGTCTAAAACCAACTACTGAGCACACTGTGCATTCTTCTAAAAATCACAATAACATCAACCCCTCCATCACCATCGTCACTCTCACAAACATCCATGTCCAGATGACACACCCTTTCCTGCTCAGTGAACTGCAGATAAGCTGCTCCCAAAGGGAAAATTCACTGCAGTCTCACACACACTCTCTTAAATCTGTACTGTTTTACTGATTTCAGCCTAAAGACTGCAGCCATTACTTTTACAGCCTGTCCTCCTCATCTGTTTTTCTTACCTTTAATGCTCGGCCCTCTCTTTCTAACATTGCACCAGGAGCAGGAAACTTAACAGGATGCAGAATCTGAGTGGGGAAGGAATGATAGGACAATGGGAAGCAAGCTGTCATTGAACCCTCTCACAAACGGAGGCGAGAGGGAGACGGACTTAGAAAGGAACAGTGGAAAAGTAAGGCGTCTTAACCATCGGGATGTCCTGTTTCTCCATGATGTCATCATATCCTACAGATATAGAGGCCAGAGGTGGACTATTGCTAGTGATTCTGAAAGTTTCCACTGGTATTTTACACATTATGGATCAAGTCTTGTTTCTGTTGCACCATCAAGCCTCACTTCCTTGCATCATGTTCGGCTAAAAACTAGGTATTTAGGATTCTTGCGTTGGAGTTCAACTTGCAATTCTAATTCTTTCTCCAAGTCCTTTTCCTTCCTGCCTATTGCCCTGAGGCTGTAGACAGGAACTGGCCTTGTAGAGAAACAGGAAGTGATGAAGTCGGACCTAACAGCGGTTTTTACCCATCAAAACTCAACATTTCATCATCCGTTTTAAAACTTTTTAGAGTTTAGAAACAAATACTCACAGATATTGCAAAAACAACAAAAAACCCAATTTGAATTAACACGTCGAACAAGCAAGACTATGTAAAAATATGCGAATACTTTTAGATAGATGGTTATGTTGAGGAAACAGGCAGCCCAGCCTTTCCCTCTAGGTGATTTCCTGCAGGCATGTCAGCTGAATAATCTACAAAAGGAATATCTAACACACTCTGACTGCAAAAATAAGACCTTGCTGGAAGAATTTAGAAATGTATTCCTATCATACATATGAGGCACATTTGCAGTATTCTCAGAGATCCAAGGTGTAACTATAAGTCATGTGGTGTGTTTTTTTAGTCTCTGGTGGGAAAAAAAAAAACTTTACACCAAGGACATGTGTAGAAAGTGTTAGCAGGAGGTAGATGGACACCACTAATGCTACTGAGATGCTGCAACAAGACCTACAACTACTAGAAAATTAATGGTTTCGTTTCTGAAATGTTGTGGCGTACAGAATATGAATTTTTCTGTGCATCACTAGTTTTAGTATTTGCATTTTGTAAAACATTTCTTAACAGAAATTAACTAATTCATTTTATTTAAGAAATCCAACACTAAATCCCAAAGTTGCAAACATTAAAGGTATAGTGGAGGATTTTTTTTTTTGCCTCACCACATGAGGATGGCACGTAGGATGGCCTTACAAAAAAATATCCCCAGAATGGTTGACAATTAGGACCACTTCTTTAGATGATCCCACCGGAAAAATGACATCCTCCACTATACCTTTAAGTAACACTTTAATTCCTTTTTTAATACCATTATAAGTGTATTTTCACTTTGGTTCTGAAATAAAGATTTTCCCCCAAAATAACAGAAAATATACACCCCATACCTAGTAGCTATTTTTGGGGAGCACCGATTTAACCCCTTTTTCAATCCATTCTTTTTAGCGTTTAACAAGCTGGTATATTAATCGAGACTATTAAGTGACTTTCAGGGGGCGAAATATTTTCAAATGTGCCTTCTTTCAGCCATCTCACTGGCAGCATGCAACGCCAGACAGGAGGAGTCAAAGAAAAAATATATCTAGTTTAACGGCATAAAACAAAAACCCTTTAAGTATTGTTGCTTTGGCACTATCTAAACATTAGTCATGTTTTCAGGTGCCTATATAATAAAATTTGGGGGATTTCTTTACTTTCTGAAATAAATGAGTTCTTGAAAACATCTGGAGAGCAGGACCAGGATGGAATGCACAGAAATCAAAAGAGGGGAATCGTCAAGAACAGGAAAAGAGAAAGCATGTTAACATTATTAACAGATAAATGGATAAATAGGTAAGGTAATTTGTTGAAAGCTGTTTTTCCCTCTGTTAAATTCACGACCTTCATAAAAGACTGGGGGGAGCAGCTGATTTCTACATGAAGGGGTCAGACCACCTTTATTGACGACACTGCTTCCCATAGACTATGACTGAACTCATTGAGGTAAATTCCACTTTTTTAACACTACAAGATGGTTTCCAAACAACATCCTCTGCGGTAGGCTGTCTGTCCATCATGAGGACTGAAAGAACAAGAATATGACCGCACTTGATCAACTTCTCCCAACTACAGCCCAACTTCCCTTTCTTTTAGACAGAATCGTGCCTCAGCTTTCACATGTCATCAGAAATATGACATAAATAAATATAAAATAGGAATCAAGCTGAATTTGCAGATATTGTGATGTTTATATAAATTTATATAAAATATATATAGAAATATATATATACATCACAACATCACATGTATATATATATATATATATATATATATATATATATATATATATATATATATATATATATATATATATATATATATATATATATATATATATATATATATATATATATATATATATATATATATATATATATATATATATATATATATATATATATATATATATATATATATATGTGGCAAAAATAAACCTGGTCTGCTGTAAAGTTCATAATACCTACAAAGAGAAATAAGTTCTTAAATGAGCTTAATCTGTACATACCAGAGAGAGGAGCGGACGCTGTGAATCCAAGTGTGTGCGGCTGGACACCTCAGGGGCGCGAGGAGAAAAGTCGCGCGCTGCTTCAGAGAACAGAACTAAGTGAGAGAAGAAGGGAGCGCGCGCTAAGAGCGGACCAGCCCACAGGGCGATGCGCGTGCCAGGGGTCCGCGAACACTTAGATGAGCGGAAACAAAAACCTTAAATACAATTTCTAACGAAACCGTTATCTACCATCCAGGAGCGAAACTACGCAACTAAAATAACAATTAAGGAAAGTCGTAATGCCTGAAGTAATTAACACCGGAATTGCTCAAGAATGACGGCATTGTATCGGCTATTTTCAAATAGATAAACTCAGAGTGATCTAATTTATGTCAAAGTGTAAACTTACCAAGGAATGTATGTGATTATTTTCTATCGATATCACACCTTTTAATTGACATCCATGCAGAATCAGCCTTAATGTCTGGTTGATCTGTTGGAGCTCAGATGCGACACTTTTGACCTACAGCAAAAGACAGGAAGGAGATTGAATGAGATGTGTTACATCCGCGTTAAAAAAAACATGCACAAATTATTGACTTTTATAAAATTATTCTTATTCTTATCTACTTTAGAATAGCATACGTTTTTGTCTCTTGTCCCATTGAGTCAATTCCATTATGGCAAAATTGGTCATTGATAATTCTAGATACACATACAGTATACATTTACAATTGAACATCTGGTTCACAGAAATCCGCTATATCAGCATGTGGAAGGATCTTTGCTGCCACCTTGTGGTGTTAGAGTGTCACAGCATATAATAATGAAGAAGTAAAATACTTTTTTTTAATAATCTGTAGCAATGGATAAAGATCCTAATATTTTCCAAACACATTTTTTTTCAACCCTGCTGAGTTTATTAATCTTATATAGCATAATAAACACAAATTTGCATCATGACAAGAGGAAGGTCCGCCTGGAATTGATAGCTAATTTCTCTACCAAAAGTCAGAGAATTTGGTGGTACATCCAACTGGCCTCACAACGACAGACCAACATCTAGCATCTTTACCTCCAAGATTAGACAAATAAGTTTTAAATAATTTATCATAAACAGTCTCAGGGAAAATCATCTGATGCTTTCATTTGCCTTTCAGAGTCTGCAGTTCAACTGCTGTCATTAAACTACATCAATCTTAGCTCATGTTGTAGGTGGAGTCATGGTATGTGCAGATGTTTGTTATGGACAATTGATGCCAGTCAAATGATTGCATTAGGAAAGCTCACAGATACTGCAATGAGATTCTGAGATCCATTGTTGTGTTTTTATTCTAAAGCACGGGTCTGCAACCTACAGCTCTGCAGCCGCAAATGGCTCTTTGGAACCTCTACAATGGCTCTTAACAGCGGCCTGAAATTATATGAAGAACCAGGTAATGTAGTATAATGACAAAAACCAATCTTAGAAGCTTTAGTAGGGTTTTATGAACAATATTTGATTGAATTTTCACTACAGAATGACAATAAATAGAAATATTTTTAAGGATGTGCGCTTGTCTTTTTTTCATCAAATCATATCTTAGATACGTATATGTTTGGTTCAGTTTTTATATAATTTTAAAGTTACATATTTTAAACATATTTTAAACAACTGTTGGTTGTTTAAAATGGTAACAAAATTCCTATAGAGGGTATTTAACAAAAATAAGTTGTGTTTTATTAAAATATGATATATTTGCAGCTCTAGACTTTACTTAGCCAGACCGGGGGGGAAATGGCTCTTTAGGGTGTAAAGATTGCAGACACCTGATCTAAAGTCGTCACCTCATGTTGCAGCATGGTGATAAATAATCCTATGTTGCAAGGATCTGTTCTCAGCTCCTGGGAGCTAAGAACTTTCCAGCTCTAGCATGGCCAGCAGACTCACCCCACGTAATCCATTCAGTATAAGTGGAATACTTTAAATCGGGCATGTCGGCCATTAACCATTTGCATTATCCAACCTTTTACAGCCAACTAGATTGACTCTCAGTGTAGTTTGTAGGCTACACAATCATGGGGAAGACCATTGACCAGACAGTTGTCCAAAAGATGACCAATGACACCTAACACAAGGAGGGCGAGACAGAAAAGGTCATTGCTAAAGAGGCTGGCTGTTCACAGAGCTGTGTTCAAGCACATTAATAGACAGGTGAAGGAAAGGAAAGGATCTGGCAGGAAAAAAATGGTACAAGCTTTAAGGATAAAAGCACCCTGGAGAGGTCTGTGAAACAAAACACATTTAAAAATGAGGGGTAGATTCACAAAGAGTGGGCAGCAGCAGGGGTCTGTTTCAAGAACCACCACTCACTGATGTAATCGAGACATGAGTTTCAGCTGTTGCATTCCTTGTGTCAGAAACATCAAGTCTGGGCTAAAGACTAAACGGGCTGCAGTTGCCTGAGTGATCACAAATTAAGGTCATAGAATCTGTAGAAAGAGAGTCACAGAATCCATGTTTCTTGATGTCCAGTGTGAAGTTCCCACCATCAGAGCTGGTTTGGAGAGGTGTGTCATTTGATGGTGTTGGTCCATCATGTTTCCAAGGTCCAAGGTCAATGCAGCCGTCTACCAGGAAGTTTTAGAGCACTTCATTCTCCCTGCAGCAAACTTACTTTATGGAGATACAGATTTCATTTCCCCAACAGCACTTAACACCTGCACAGTACCAGTGGCATCAGTAATTGGTTTAAGGACCTTGGTATCACTGCTCTCTGCAAGCAAACACAGCTTCTTTAGAAAGGAAAATGCAATATGCCAAATGCCCAGTGCCACAGTGCACATAGGAGTGGTGGCCTAGTGGTTAGGGCATAGAGCTTGGAATCCTGCGGTTCTGAGTTTGAGCCCCACTCCCACAGACTGCCACTCTGGGTCCCTGAACATGCTCTTAACCCCACTCTGCTCCCCCGGCGCCGCACAATGGCAGCCCACTGCTCCCCAAGGGGATGGGTTATATGCAGATTTCATTTCCTCGCTTTGTACTTATGACAGTGTAATGACAATAAAAGTTGTCACTGAGCATTTCTGCTGTAATCCAGGCAAAGGGAGCCACAACAGATATTTAGTGCTTTGCATGCTCGTTCACAATCATACTTTTCAGTCAGCCATCATTTCTGAAAAAAATAAGTTTTTTGAATTGCTCTAAATTTACACTTGAAATATATCAGCCTGTGTATAGTGAATGAATTTATTACACACATTTTGAATGGAAGTACCTAAAAAAGAAAACAAAATTCATATTCTAATTTTATGATACACACCTGTATTGGAGAAGAACAGGCCTTAAGTGTCACCGCAAAGTCTTAGTTTTCAGTTCAGCTCATGAAAAACAGGTCGTACAAGTGCTGCATTCGTATTTCTACGCAGTATATTTTAATAGAAACTTGTAAAATGCAAACTAAAGAGAAAACTCTGGTACATGTTGGCCTTTCTAAGGCCTCTAAATCAAATGCTGTTTTGAATTACTGAATTATATAAAGCTGTTGAATGATCTTTGATCGACTGTGCTTTTATCTGTCAGTTTCCTGTCAACAGTTAAACCAAAAAGATAAATGGCTGAACCATAATTAGACACAGAGAATGATAAAAGTTTCCAGACTTTTAAGGACATTTGAAAGAAAATGAAAGAAAGAAACATGTGATTATGTACAAAGTAAATTTTATTGCTTAAAAAAATACAAGATACTCTTGTTGCAGGTTAGCCAGCCTTGTAGTACTGCAGACAAACAATGATTTACCAACCGGACTTGATAACAAACTGACCTGGCATTACCAGGTATGCAGTATCTAATCTTAAAAATCATGTGCAAGAAGAATCAGAACGCTCAAGGCTCCATAGGGGATTTAAATCCTGATGTATTCAGTGCAAAAGAGGTAACATTTAAATGCATCCACGTGGCAAAGCAGCATCAAACAAAATAAACTTAACACTGAAAGATACGACATGAATTCACAAACATTCATCGTAGTGTATGAGTATAATTTATCCATCACAGCTGGCTCAGCATCTGCAAGACGGTGTGCAAAGGAGTCATCTCATGTAGTACGTAATGGCTCGTAAAGTATAGAGCAGGGCAGCCTGTAGTCGAGCTTCCATCACTATTAGGTTGGCGTGAACCTGTGAGGAAAAAAAGAAAACAAAATGCCATGTCATTTACCTTTGGGTAAAAGGGTGAAATATTTTTACCTACTGTCTGTAAAGCTTCGTTTTCTGATGACATTTAAAAGAGGGAAAAGAAGGCAGCGCATGAAATGCCAGGGATTCATTCTTTGTTAAGAAGATACCAGAGAGAAGCCGAAATGTCAAGTGATTTGTGACAACAGAGGTCAGGTTGGACGTGTGTCTTCACCTTTTCGGAGTGTCTGAAGTGCCTCCAGAAGTCATGGTAAATGTGTGCGGTGGTCTGCTCAGGGTGGCAGGCCACGGTTTTGACAAAAACCTTCAGCGAGCGCTCTAGTAACACATTCACACTGCCGTAGTCGTAATCATCGTAACTGTAGATGCAGAAAAACAAACAAGTTATAGATAGAGTGGGAATATGGTGGAGGTGGAGGTCAAACCGACACTAACCGTATGCCGTAGAGGCAGTGGATGTAGTTCCACAGAGCTTTCCTCAGAGTATATGTGTCGACACCTTCATGCATCGCCATCCTGTGATAGGTCAAGTTGCTCACAACCTGCAGAGTTGCATAATAATTAAATGTTATTTCCTTTTCATCCTCCATCACCACATTTTCAAGGAATAATTGGGCAATCTTGATTCTACTGAGATGATTTCAAAATGATGTTTTTACATAAAAAACTTCTGCAAATATGGAAGTAAACGATATATAGTTCCCTGCAACGATATCGACATCATTCTTTTTCATTTTACAGGTTATAACTATTTCAGCCTAACTATGACAAACCAAACGTATTTTTAAAATGGGATCTTTCTGTGATAAAATACTCTCTTTGTCGTAAAATACAATGATAATTATATCTGAAAATGGTTTTCATTCATTCATTTGTATTCCGCCCACATTCCTCTGCTGGAAGGGCTCAGCTACAGCCCAAAGTTTCAGCCTTTTGAAAAAACTAAAAACCTGTAAGAGACTTAATAGCAATAAAGATGTGCAGCAAAACTATAGGAAGTATTTTAACCTCTGCAGCTCTACAGGATAAGAGACGAGGAGGACTTAGCTGTCCTTGCTAACCCAGGCCACCCTCTTTATGGTGATTACTAGTTTTCACCAGATACAGAGCGGTCAGCCTCATTAATAACGTGACCTGATAGATCCAAATAAAGGCTCTAGTTCCTTATATTTTTATCACGAATTCTGTGGTTATATTTTGTTGTAAATTTTTGTTTTGCTTTTCTTTGCTGGTTGCAAAATATTTGAAAGAATTTCCTCTGTTTCGTTTCAATCATCTTTCTATGAACTCCAAACAGTTTTCTGGTTACTGCTAAAGAGAAGTATCCCTAACTTAAGTGATTGTCTCATCTGAGCAGACGACAGTCTTCCTGTTTGTCTGTTTTTTGCGGTTTTCCATGAGCTAAATAGGGGGCACAACACACTAAACCTTGTATGGTTTTCTTTTTGCCATAATTTAATAAAAAAAACAGATATATGGGAATGCTACTAAAGATTTTTTCTCTTTATAGAGTCCAACCTGAGCTGTGGATGTGAGCAGCTCTTACCAATGTTTTATCTACCCAGCCTGTGATTTTAGGAGCATATCTACCTCAATTTATTCTGTTCTCTTCAAAATGATGAAGTGCTTTTTGCTCTCAATAAAAGTTTAAAAATATACAGAAGTTAGTTTTTGATTTGACACATTTTAAAAAAATTGATAGGGATAACTGCTTTAGTCTGTTACCGAAAGAATCACATTAGAACAATAAAGAAATCTCCTGCATCGCCGTTCCAGCCAGGTAGGAGAAACTACAGCAAACAATATCCAAACTGCAGAAGGAAAATCTTCAATCTCACTGTTTATATAACAGAGTATCCTGGCAACAGTTAATAACTTTGGATGCTTCTATCTTTTTTGGGTAAGTGTTGCAGCCAAATACCAAACAAATCCTGGTAAAACTCCCTGAAACAAGAAATGAAAGATTTTTTATTGTCAATTTAGCAACTTTAATACGGATATCTGAAAAAGAAGGAACTAGCAAGTACTGCCTTATGCACAAACAAAAGAAACACTTTTCTTTTTCAGCTCTGTTGAAATTATTATTTTAATGAATAAGTAAACTTTTTTTATTTTTGTTTTTCATCTGTTCATAAAATCAAGTCCTTAAGCAGATCTTATAAGGTGTCTTCTTCCTTCTGAGATGTTTCATTCATTTAGATTTAATAGATGAATTGTGCAAATACCTGGAATTCCTCATCCAGGAACTGGCCCATGTCTGGGAGCAGCCTCTGGACCAGAGAGAAGCCGTGGTCCTCCCACGAATAGTCCTGAAGATCAAGAACATCACAGGAAAAAAATTTGAGATAAAAACAAGAGACCATGAATGAGATCAGGCTTTTTTTTTTATATTAGTATCTAAATTTCAGTAATCATCTAAACATAAAAACGATGAGCTACCTGTGCTCTCATGATGGGTGGTGACTGCTCTCCTCTGGGGGCAAAGTCCTCATATCTGAACTCAGGTTCCTCGACTAGATTCAGCACCAGCTCAGGTGGAGCTCCCCTCACCACCGCTACACAAGCACAGTTCAAGAAGTTGAGTCGGGGAACCAAAATAGTGACTGGCAGTAAAAATAAAAAAAGGCAGATTTCTACCTGTCGGTATGCTCTCGCTCCTCTCCCTTTCAAATCGAGTAACCATCTCCTCCTGTGTGCACTCCTCCTCCTGCTGCTGGAGCTCCACCATTCTCTTCATCAGTACCTCCACCTCCACCGCTCCATCCGCCAGCTGCAGAACATCAAAGCACTCTGTTGTTTATCTACACTGAAGCAATGTGTGTTGCTCTTGTGGAACCGGTGTTTCTAGTGACATCTGAGACCTGCATGACTGCTGGAGGGAATTACCGTGACTCACCTCCTGCCTGCCGTCCTCATGAGCCGGGCTGTGAGGAATGTGACTGGGCGACGGAGGGCAGAAGGTGTGACCCCCAATGTGGTCCGGTTCTGGGTTTAATCCGCAACCCCACACAAAGGAGCAGAGAGAGTGAGTGTGAGCCATCAGGATGACAGCGTGGATCAGCTCAGCGAGCGACCAGCGCGGCTCTGCTCCGGCGCACACCAACTCCTGCAAAGATTGAAGGGATAAAGTTTTAGATAAGCATGCTAAATAGGTTCCTTCTTTTAAAAAAAAATATAATGCACAGCAAAAAAATATACCAATCTTTTAAACAAACCTATTTCTTCATTTTGAGAATGTTTTTGAGAATGTGTCGTAGAATATGGACATTTATCTATTCCCTCAATGAATAAAGGGGAAGATTTATGCTACGCATCAGCCAACTAATTAATTAATATTTAAGGAGTCCAAATTCAACATCAGTTTTTGAGCTTTTTTGACCATACTTTCCTCAGTTCCCTGTTGCTGGACGCCTTGTCCCCTACTGACTAGAGCTGCGGTGATCTCACCCTCCTAGGGCTCCAACAGGTTAATCTTGAATGGGACTTGCAAGGTATGTAAGCTGTTCGTTGGTGATCCTACTCCCTTTTCTGTCCGTCCATCACTGGAGTTGCATTCCTGTTGGTGGGACCCGAGAACATTTTCACGTCTGTCACCAATGGTAGGACACTTGCCTTGACTGTATGCCAGCAGTTGGACCTTCTGTTGCCATTGTCACCCCATAAGGCCCTGCGCTCTAAAGTTCGGCGCCCACAAACTTGGTAGGTAAGACATACAATGCGGTCTTGCTGGCCAGCTTCCTGCTGCAGAAGTAGCATTAGGTGACGCAGCATTGCAGGCATTTGCGCTGATGACCCATAGGGTCCCATGGCATCTTCCGGCATGAATCTGCTGCCTCAGCTGGCACCCCAACCCTCAATGTCTCCAGCTGTAGATAGACTAAGTGACTGTTCAGACTCTGTCAGGGGCACCATACTGAGTGCTAGGCCACCCTCGACTTGAGAGCAATACAACAACAGATGCCATCTATTTTCTAAGTGGTACTTTGCCAGCAATAAGGACTAAGTTTCCTGCCCAGTCCCCGCTATTCTGTAGTTTCTCCAGTCTCTACTTGATAATGGTTGTTCTACTTCCACCCTTAAGGTTGGGGCTCTTCCCCTATCGAGCCCTAGGTGCAAGCTGAGCTCAAGTGCCTCCCATATAAGACTGCCTTTTTGTTAGCAATTGTTTTAGCTAACAGGGTTGGTGAGCTACCTGCTCTTTCTGTCAGTCCCTCATGTCTCTGATGGGATCTAAATTGTTCTGCTGTTACCTTGTGGCCCAACACTTAATTTGTGTCCAAGGTGTTGCCCCATTCACATTGCAACCAATCGTGGAGTTTGGTTTCAACTACAGTCTAGTACCACTGAGGAGGGGTCTGAGTTGTACCCTGTACGGGTGCTTAAGGCTTACATCGCCGCCACTACAACTGTAAGACACTCAAACTAGGTTTTTTTGTGCTATGGAGTATCAAAGCGAGGCTGTCCTCTTTCTAAACAAAGTCTCTCCCACTGGATCATGGATTTCATCTAACATGCCTACAGTGTAGGATGCCACCCGATGCCGTTCGATGTGAAGGCCCACTCTACCAGGAACATCTCTGTTTCCAGGGCTGCTACAAGGCAGGTTAAGATGGAGGCCATATGTGGTGCAGCATCATGGGCTTCACCCAGAACATCCATCAGGTTCTACAGCGTCAACGTGACAGCCCACATCCCCTGGGCCAGGTTCAACGGAGTGATTTATATGTTCTGCATTCCTGGTGACATGGGTGGTTTAAGTCATTCCGAGTTTTCAGCACCATCCTCTGGCGGTCAGTAGGGATGAAATAAAACGAAAGTTACGTATGTAACTACGGATGTATGAATCCCGGATGATCGCCAGAGATTCTCAGGCTCTCTGGATCAATGCATCTACGAGATTCTGTAGGAACAGAGCCCTGGACGCTATCAGCATATAGCTTCTGACTGGTCATCCAGGGTGTCACAGGTGCGACTATGTTGGTATTATTACTCGAACTGCTCATGTGCAAAGGGAACATTCAGTGCTTTCAGCACCACCCTCTGACAGTCATCCAGGATTCATAGACCCGTAATTACATAAATAACTTTTGTCAATCTAATATCAGTTCATATCAGGAGCATGAAAGCTGGTAAACATCTAAAAAATGAAGAGCAGTGAGCCTTTAGGACCAGGTTTAAAAAAACACTACAGTGTAAATCATGGAAAACAGTATTGGGTGCCGCTTTAGTTTAGTGGACCTCAAAGCTTTCATGACATGCATCACCCTAACATATGTTTTGAGGGTACCATTATACTCAGAGACATTTTAAAACTGTTCTACAGTACGATTTTAAAGAACAAAAATTGGACAGTTATATTCCTTGGTGCAGCTTGTATGGTCAGCAGTTAACAATAGTGTAAACAATAGTGAGAATTTTTACTTGGAAGTTGCATTTTTTAAGAAAAGTTTGCAAAATTTTAGGTAGAATTTTGAGGGTTTTTTAATCTATGCTAACCTTAAAATTCACTGTTGCTTCCTTACAGAAAAAAGCCTGTAATAAATACAGTAAACAAGTGTTAATAGGTTTTCTAAAATTTCTCTTTGAGTAAATTGTTCACATGGTACTATACAACCTCTTTTAATCTAAATGATTTTGCAGTTTTGTTTAAAAATGTAGTGAATCATCAGTTGAAAGCATGTGTTATAATTTCCATAAAAATAACTCTGAGTTGACAGACTGCTCAAGAAATGTTGGTAATTTAGGACCGATAAAGCTGCCTAAATCCCAGAATCAAGTGCATCACACCAGAGGATCAAGTCATTAAAAACATGTTTGCAACAGCTTTAGACTGAATTAGCGCAGTAAGGGGAATGAATCACCATCTTCTTCAAGCTGAAGTTGGAGAGTGAGTCAGTGAGCTTGGATGCAAGTCAAAAATTTACTATCAACTGTTACCAACAAAATACGGCAGAAAGTTGACTTGAGACAGTGAGTGATTGAGTGGGCGAGCTTCTGATGCGTCTGACCTGGATATGCTGTTGCGTGATGAGCCAGGGTCGGTGTGCCAGCAGCTTGTTGAGGGTTTGGAGGCCGCGGAGTTTAGTGGGGGCGTGCTCGAGGCCGCTGAGCCAGCTCTCCTCCCCTCCAGCTTCCAGGAAAGCCATGCTATGCTGCTGCACCATGTATGAACAGTGGTGCCGGGCTGCAGCCTGAAAGACACAAGAAAGGTCCCAGGAAATCAGACTAAAAATAAACACAGCAGCCTTGCCATTGAAAAAAAAGAAGTGTTTATTCCAGCAAATATCAGGTATGTAATGGATAAAGCAGGATCACATTTCTAAAGTTAAGTGCAACAGCAGGTTAAATGATTATGTTGGCAACAAGTTGATACATGTTTATGGAAAGAATGGAAAGAGCCAATTTCCACTGGCTTTTTAGGAAATAATACAACAGTTTTATAATACAACAGTCGTCGATTTAAATTAAATCACAACTTTAAATGTAAAAAACTAAAATTCCCTATAAGAATCGATAATCACATCACAACAATAAACATCACACAAGATTATCTTTTACTCCGATTCGTATTTATTGATGCTTGCGTGGAACCAACAGGGAAACAATTGGGAGAAAAAACAAAAAACAAAAAAAAAAACATGTCTTTCATGTACAGCAGATTTATCTGCTTTACATATGTGTTGATCTGTAAAAGTTCAGAATTGGCGCCAGGAAGAAAAAGCTCCTTGTCTGAACTTGTCCACATCTAAACACTGAGCACTAATATAAAAACTTCCACCAGACCACAGATGGTGAAATGCAGCAGACAATAGGGTTTTCAAATAATTGATACTCTGAAAAGTATTGATACTTAAAAAGTTTATTTGGATACAACACTAAATTGGAATGGCATCTATACTAAATATAATATAAATGTTGTTTGCATATTTTCTATTGTTAATTTGAGATTTCTAGGTTATTATGACATAAAAATATCTCAAACAACCAACAAATGTTGTCAACCCAGTTCAGATTGGGTAGATTTTAGGTTTCTTTTACATTTATTTGTAAATTTTTCCAACTAATGGAAACTATGACTGTTGAGAAAGCATGTTCCATGATGAGTTTGATAAAGGTGAGTTTTTCCACATAAATAAATATAATATAATCCTGAATGTCAATATCGAGTTTGAAATTTTCTTAGCAAACAATATTGAGGTCAATGTCTTTTCACATTTTTTGTGCCAATAATTATGGAACCGAACAGTAAAATAGTTGAGTCTGAAATATACACAGCAAATCACGCCAAACCTGCAGCCTAAAAGGAAACAAATGTAACATATAACTAAGTTATAGCTTATCAGGGAAATATGCTAATTGCCGCAAAAATATTTAGATACAGCTCTATAGTTCTTTATTATTTTTAATACTGAGTAAGCTCACGATTCCACTAAAAATAAAGCACTCAGAAGAGATGATTTTGAAATAATACTTTACAATGAAAACTACGTCATCTTTGTTAGAGCTAAACAGACTGACTTATCCAAGTGACAACACAACTGACTGTTTTGTTTTCTTAACTATAGGTGTTGTAAATTCAGGTGATTGCAAGCGAGTCAAGGACATTTTAAAAAGCCTTTGCATCTCACTCTAAATATAAACAAACAAGTCATTTAAAGAGATTTTCTTACCATTATGGAAATGTAATGTCTCCAGTCACGTGGCAAAGGACCGTCCAGTTCAAACAAAGCATGCTGGGTCCTGAGGAAGCAGCTAAGATAGGACGGGTGGAGGGCCATGACCATGGCGAGATGGTCCACCCGACCCAGTGCAAGAAACGACTCAATGAGCATGTCCTGGTTTGGCCCCTCTATAAACATCTGAAATGAAGAAAAACACAAAAAGAGGTTCCAGTTTAAAAGGCATTTAAAATGTAACATTTTCTTCCAATACTTTATTAAAGACTTTAATATTTCATCTTAAAAAATTCATTAGGAAAATATATTGAACCAAAAACACGCATAATGCTTGCTGCTGTGGAAAATCTTCATGAGTCACATTTAATTTAAGCTTAGCATTTAAGCTTTGGCAACATGACTCTAGCATTGCATCTTCTACTCCTTAATGCAGCTCATACTGCAGAGTTGCATCAGAAAAGTTGGCCTCACTGTTTCTGTGCCTGCTGAGTCCTATACCTGTTCGTTCATGTGTTGATCATTAATCAAAGAGGCCGCTGCCAATCCGACTGAATCTAAACTATGCCAAGACATGGATGGTAAAAAAAAACATTTTAAAAATAAATAAAAAAATTATGTTAGAACTATAAATATACACTCATATATTTATATTACTATTTTTGTATGTATTTATTACTGTTCTTTAAGGCTGCACTTTAAAAAAATAAATTGTCGAGAGCTGTTTTAAATGAAATTTCTTTTTGTATACACTTGTTTATACAAAATTATCAAATAAAACTTGTCTAAGACAAAAAAGAAAAACAAAGGTTAAACTGTGCCTTTTTCTGCCACATCAGCGCCATTAATGGATCATAATTGAAACCAAAACTATAAGTGCTTGTACTCTTAAAATATTTAAATACACCTGTCTAGAAACAACTGAATGTAATCAGACAGCTAGGTTTCTGTGAATCCGCTCTGATTGCTGGTCGGCAGATCAAACACGGAAAAATCGGATTTGTATTTGTTAAAAAGTACCAAAAGTCTTGGTTTATAACTGCATCGATTAAAAACATGTTTTTGCTCTTTATATATTTATTTATTAGCTTATCTTTGCATGCATGAATTTGCACGTTCTTGTTATTCCGTCATGTTCTGTTGGTTTATACCTTAATACCTTAATCAAACCTAAATTGCATTTTTTTTGCTTTGTAGACCTTAGGTGTTTAATGTTTTGTGTGTTGCCTTTAAATTGCCTTATCTACTGCAGTACCTGTGCTAGAAAGAAAAGCGGCAAAACTAAGGTAAATCATATATAGAAAAAAACAAATGTTTTCACAAGGCTGACAAACTTAAAAGTGTGTATAATATTTTAGATATCTAAAATGCCCAGAGCTTAATACCTCTTTTGCAGGAATGAAAGCACTGGGACCAGAGGCCAAGGCTCGAGGTACTTCAATGCCTTCTTCCTGGAAATGAAGAAAAGAATCAATACATTTAGAAGTCTCCCAACTGATCCAAGCATAATTTGCTTTTTTTGATAAATAATAAACGAAATTCATCCATTTTAGTAGACTGGAAAGTAAATAGGGTCATATTGCTAGTTTTACTACATGACCAGACCACTTTGCATTTACTGCTAATCATAAACATCTTGTATATTTTCAGCTTAGGTCATATTTTAGTAAAAATAACTGAAACCTAAAACCACAAGACTGCAGCAGCCATACTATAATTGGAGACAGGTTTCAGAACAAGGAGTTAAAAAAAAAAAAAAAAAGCCAAACAATCCGCATAAAAATAAAACTCACCGACATCTGAACATGAGAGATAAATGCTTCAAATCAAGTTCCTTTTCGTTTCCAACAACATGTAAAAATGCACCGAGGTCTACAGTGACTAGAGGGCTGTTTCAGGACTGGGGGGGTGTGCCTGCATGCTGGATGTTTATCAGGACACCAGGAGGGGGCGTGTCCAGCCTGCTGTTTGTGCTCACAGCAGCAGGAGCTTGCATCACCTTCGCCACAGTGTCTGATGAAATAACCTACAGTCTGCTGGTAATCAGAACCATGTCCAGCTGATATATGATGATTGTTTTGATTGTTAAAGATTACAGGATCAAAACAATAAAAGTCTAACATTCTTATTTACAGAAAAGCTACATAATCTAAGCCCGTCGCCTCAATATGAAGCAAATAAAGATGTTTTTTTAAATAAGATCAACATTACCTGTGCGGTGCAAAGAAGCTCGCTTGCTCTCATACGAACCTCCTGAAGCGGGCAAGATCTAGAGAGCCGAAGCAGATGAAGAAGCGTTTGTTTACTCAGCCGAGCAGAACCGGGTCGATCCAGTCCTAAACAGACCAGAACCTTCTGGCTCAGCTCCTCCAGGGCCGCGGCCCTCTCATCTCTATCCCTGCTGCATAGCCGAGATAAGCTCTTCGCCGTCGGATATATTTCGGATTCCGAATCAGAGCGGTAACGAGATGAGCCTCCAGTGTCCGATGCCTGACTCGGGTTTTCGCCTCCATTAGCCTGGAAAGCGAAGCCGGGTGCGGAGCTGCTGGCCATGTCCCGGTAGCACCCGGTGAACCAGAGCTGAGGTTACCTGTACTCACTGAATACAACTAAGCTAGCCCAGCCTACAGTAACGGTAGCCGTCTGAGATGGTTTGAATGAAACATTAGTTTAATTCGCCGTGAAATACTCGAGCATCCGTCAGATGTTTTAAATTCAACCAGAGATCAACAGCTACACAAACTGACAGTGTGATGAATGAACCGGAGAACAGCCAGAACCATGGAGCCCACCCCCCCTCTCTCTCCCAGGCTACCTGACTTTCCGGTTAGCTAGTTAGCTTGTAGGATATCTGCTAGCAGGTGATGCAAACAGCGCTTAGAAAGAGAAATACGTGTTCATAAAAAACGAGGAGATCACGCTTTCGATGAAAATGAATCACCCATCAAAACATATGACTATGAATAATTATCAAACAAAAAGAGTCGAGTTAATCCTGCCTGTTCCTGCTAGGGAGCCAAAAGTGTGACGTCACCATAATGTTACGGAAACTTTCAAAAAAAGTTGCAGCAAAAAAATAATAAATAAATAAATAAAATAAATACATAAAAAAATTGCCGCAAAAAAAAATAAATAAATAAATAAAAATTAAGAATGCCGCTCCAGTTCATATTTTATTATTATTATTATTATTATTATTATTATTATTATTATTATTATTAGTATTATTATTAGTATTATTATTAGTATTATTATCTTATTTTTTAGGTTATCTATAAAAAATGCAAAAAAAATTTTTTATTTAAGATAAGGCGTCTTTTATGTGTTTGAATTGCCTCCTGATGTGTTATCTTTTGGTTAAGTGACTTTGCTTTCACTTTTACATTCTTTGGTTATGGAAGTAAATATTTGTCACTTGTATTTAAATTACAAATGTCAATTAAATTTAATGTTTTCTCAAGGCTGACAAACTTAAAAGTATGTATTGTGTCATTTTTGTAAAAGTGACAAATTACTATGATTTTAGTCTAAAATGACCAGAGCTTAATGCCTCTTTTGCGGGAATGAAAGCACTAGGACCAGAGGCCAATGCTCGAGGTACTTCAATGCCTTCTTCCTGGAAATGAAGAAAAGAATCAATACATTATTATTATTAACATCATCATCTTATTTTTTTAGTTTATCTAAAAAAAACATGCATGGAACGATAAGTATTGACAGATACCAATATTGACTCGATACGATATCAGTACGAGTAATATATACCTTTATGACTTATTATTTAGTGTGACATTTCTCAATCAGAGAACAGTGCTTAACAACATCAGGTATGAGAACAAATGACCCATTTTTTCATTCATCAAAATGTTATATAAACTTTAAACAAAAGGAGAAATACAAAAATGTTTCTATGAGTTGCTTATAAAACTGATCTCCGATATCAATATTGGCTCGGGACAGGCCTAAGAAAAATAATTAATAATTATTAATGAATAATTCTGCATTTCCTTTTTTTTCTTAGACTTAGACAGATTTTATTTGTCATTTTGTTTACACAAGTGTAAAACAAAAAGACATTTCGTTTGGAAACAGCTCATTGGACAATTCCCTCTTTTAAAAGTGCAGCCTTGAAAAATAGTAAAAATGACTGTAAATTTATAGTTCTAACAATTTTTTCATTTAAATTTTTTTCTGCAAGGCTTTTAAGTGTTTTGAGATCAGGTTTTCCATTTTTGAATTGAATACTTTGAATTTCCATGTTAATCGACAATGCTATACAAGCCTAACTGGCATAGCCAAAACCAAGCCTGAATTTTGCAAGAAAAACTCAACTTTAGTGTGTAAATGTGGCAGCTAATGGAATTTACTTTGAATTATTCCAACTGTCATGATTATCCAATGGCAAGAGCAAAAAAGCTGTCTGCTTTAAATGTGCCAGAACTGTAAACGGTGGAGGCCAAACCATCAGCTTGGAGACAATAAAATGGGGAGAATTTCTTAAAGGATTTGGCAGATGTGGGGCCAAAGAATCCAATTTTACCTGCAAGAGCCAAGAGACTGTCAATGACTGTTTTCTCTAAATCCTGAGAAGCATGCTTTTGGGCTGAGATTAGGTCAAAGAACCCACACATGCACATGAACATATACACTCCATTCAGAAAGTACCCTACCTGAGACATGGAGAGAACCTACGCATGCACAGGGAGAACATGCAAACTATGTTATTATTGTCATTTAGTCAGGTAATTTGTGATTTTTAAAAACCTCTTTTCTGAGGATCAATCAGCATTTTATCATTTTAAAAAATCATTAAAATGCTGCCTCACATTATTTTTTGTTTCTTGCTGGTTTCTGTTCCTCTCTACTCTGAATTTTTCATTTCTTCTTTCACAACTGCATTTCCATACCAGAGATTTGCAAATCTTTCAAATGAGGGTAAATTAGCTACGGCTTCTGTTTTGTTTTTCTTACAGATCATTGCCTCCTGATAATCACTTTATGGCTTAAAGATTATTATCCAAATTGACAGTCCAACTAAACTATGCTGCTTCAGAAAATTCAAGACATACTACATTCAAGACAGGCAGCCCTTTCAGTCCTTGTGAGCCCACTACACATTTTTGAAACCTCAGTAGCAATGTGATGTATACTCAAACAGCTTTTTATTAAGTCATCTGAAACTACTTTCAACTGTGTATTTCTGTTTTTTGTGTTTAATGTATCTTCATTCCCACACAGGATTAGTCGACAACTTTAACTTTACAAACCTCCTTTATTTAGCAAAATAAACATCATTGGTATATTCTTACTGTCAGACGTTAATCTCACATTAATTTGGCTGTATATTTCTCAAAACCACCTTAAAAGAAAATAGATGCAGTTAGAAGTGAGAATGACGGTGAAAATAAAAACAGAGAAGTGAAAACGATGAGTTTGCATTATTTGATGTGGCATACATCATTACTGGCAGTGAGCAAGAAAAATAAACCCTTTAGTTAACCATCACTGTTTCCCTATGAGGGAAGACTTTTATTAACACACAGGCTGGCTTTGAAGATCAACCTACAGAGAGCTTGCACATATAAAGGCATGCTTTCCATGGTAATTGGAAGTTTGTGTCCCAGGATAGTTGGAGAACGATCTGCAGTAGAGTTGGAGGCAGGATTTGCTTTGAATGATCTGGAGAGTTCAGGATACAAGCAGAAGTGTGTATTCATAAACACTTGATTATTTTGCTGAATGCAACAGGTTGTGTGGAGATCCACAGAGATCAGTTGCTTGGGAGTCTTCAAACAATTTTGTTCTCCAGCAGGGCAATCCTCTTCGCCATACCCTCTAGTGAGATTTTGTCAAGGGCAGAAACAGGCAAATAGAGACAATAAAACACACATTTGACTTTGTTAGAGATGCACCAATGAAAACTGCAGCCCATATGTTCGTTTTTAGGTTTTTGCACAGCTTAACATTTTGATACAGATTTTAGTCAAGTCTAGTATAAGGGTATTTTTTTTTTTTCTTTAAACCCGAAACAAAGACAAGGTTATGGAGTTCACATTGTAAACTGTCTTTAGAATCAACTGAGTTCCTTTTAAAAACAGTCCTCAACTGTAATACCTAAATACTTACAATCCTTGGCTAACAATAAAGGCTTCCTAAAAGCTGCTTAATCTTCTATGGTTCCTGACACAAAGATGTGGAAACCCTAAAAGAATAAAAAAGCAAGTTTTCTATAATGTGTTCAGCCTTATTGATTTCTAAAGTCTTGTTTTTGTTACGCTCTATTCCATGCAGCTTGATTGCACAGATAACATTTATCATCATGGCAATACAGTGTCTTTTAATTAGTGTCTTACACCCCTGATCTTCATCAGACTTCGATTTCAAATATCTGACCCCAAAATGAAAACAGTAAACTTTGAGTCCTCTTTCCCCAGTAACCTCATCTCTGAGGATTGTGAATTCACTAATAGAAAATGACTAAATATAAGATTACACAGTCAATTTCTTGGTGCCTCTCTATTAAAAAAATCCCCTCATTCCTTGTAGAATATAGTTTGTCATTCACCATAAAGGATATATTTTTTGTTTAGTGCTTGTAGGGCATCGTCTACTTTCTTCTGGAACTTAACAAGACTGTCACACTCACAAGGGTCTATAATGGGATTAAAGCACAAGGTTAGTTTTTTCATGTACAGTAATATTAGTATTTTTAAAGATTGCCTATATTGAAAACTACTAACCATCACAGAATTTTATATTTAGCTTGTTGGCAATTTGGCTCATAGCCTTAAAGTCAGCTGTGTAGAAATAGTGCTCTTCAACAGGCTCAGAGGCAATCTGTTTCAGCTCACTCTCCAAGGCATTACCCACTCCAACAGCATACATCTTCAAACCTGCGATGCACGCACACCTTCCAACATTATCATGCACCTTTACCTTTCAAAATTGTTTAGAACTGATTATCATCACTCTTACCAAACTGCTTTGCCTTTTTAGCTGCATCTCCAATATAGTCCTGGCTCCGTCCGTCAGTGAAAACGATGGCAATCTTTTGCACACCAGGCCGGGCACCCTGAAGTACGGTGAAGTCGTGATTTACAATGTGATAAATAGCCAAACCTGTCATGGTCCCCCTCTCCATGTATTCCATCCTCTTCACGGCATCTTTGAGGTCTTTCTTGTTGTTGTATCGGCCGAGGGGAAACTCCTGTTTTCAATAGAAGCATTGGTAAGTGGGAAATAAAAGGCATGTTGTGGAAAAACTGAGCTTAAAAATAAAACTTACACTTTTGACAGTACTAGAGTACTGCACAAGACCAACATGAGTATTTTTTTCAGAGACATCCAGTTTGTCAATGATCTGGTTGATCCATTTCTTGACCAGTTCAAAGTTCTCAGGACGCACGCTTTTTGAGCCATCGATTACAAATACAAGGTCTATTGCAGAATTGCTGCAAGCTGTCGATAACAGAAAATACACAGAGTGGAGGATCTTAAACAAAAAGAACACTTTGTAAGTTTGCACAAACAAGTTTAAATAGACACACACACACACTCACCACTGCAACTGCGACCATCATCCATTAGGGTAAAGCCATCTTTGCAACCACACTTGTATGATGCTTTGGTGCTTATGCATACCTGCTGACAGTCATGATCCCCAGTGGCACACAGGTCTTGTGGTTCTTCTGTGCACACAGAACAAATGTGCACAGAACACCATATGAAAAGGTGCAAAACACACACACACACACACACACACACACACACACACACACACACACACACACACAGGGAGTGGTTGGTCAGGGTTAGCAGGTAGAAATAACTATGTCAGTTTGAAATTCTGCAAGCATTTTAATGATCCACTGTGACCTGCAGTTGAAAGATATAATAGCTTTTTGGCTTTTAGTAAAGCAAGGTACTGACAGGTGTGCATGAGCAGTCAATAGTAGCTTTACTGCAAACGACAGCAGGCTACTTTGCTATGGATATCCTAACAAGATGCTACACTTATCCTGCAAGC